TACTGTAACGTTACAATAGTGTTTCTGGCTTTCCCTGAGGTTACTGAGCACTTCACAAAACTGTTAGCAAAGACATATAAGATGGAGAGCTCACCTGCTCAGTAGTTTCCTGCGACTCCTGCCTCTCTCAGTCAGCCTCTCTCTCTCTCTCTCTCTCTCTCTCTCACTCTCTCTCTCTCTTTCTCTCTCTCTCTCTCTCTCTCACACACACACACACACACACACAAACTCTCTCTCTTTCGCTTTCTCTCTCTCTCTCTCTCTCTCTCTCTCTCTCTCCCATACACACGCCGTCCCGCAGTGGCTGCCCCGCCTGAATGAGCTCGGTCTCCGGTCTGCAGCGGCACAGTAGAGGGGAATAGAAGGAGGGTGGAGCCCCGAGTGTCACCGGCAGCTTGTACTCCTGTCCCGGGAAAACAGGAGCAGGTAGGCCCCTTCGACAGTGCTGAACCCCACCCAGTCTGTAAGGCCAAGCCCACTGTTCTAGGTAAATATTACTCATAACCTCCCCAGAGCTTAAATATACTGTGGCCCATTTTCTGTCAAAACCTTCTGAAGGGAGCTTTTGTTCAAGCTTGTGAACTGCTGTCAGGACAGTAAGCAAGCAACCAAACAAAAGCAATTTTATAGACTCAGAAAATTGGCGCATTCAACTTTCATGCACCCGTACTTTTAACATTCTTTATTGAATCGCATGCCGTTTTCCATCGCTTGGCTGGCAGCAAGACAGACGGTCTCACTCACTCCACTCAAAATTAGATCTGTCTTCTAGTTCCTACAATGTGCTGTTTGAATGCTGTGCAGTGCACATCTTCTGTCCAGCAGAAAAAAAACTGTATATTCAGATTCTGGAATTTTTAATGAGGCAGAAAGAGTAGGTGTGTTTGTGCTCCAGTGTATTATGGGTCCCTCACCTTACACCCCTATACTCCATCAGCACTGACCATAGATCTACATTGTGGTCAAATATTTTAGATCTTGATAATAGATGTGATGTATATGTACATCATCTACATCTTATACCTCATGAGACTGCATCCAGAAGACATTAAACTTGTTTTGAAAAACAGTCCAGTGTGTAACATTTTGGAAGATCAATTGTATAATATATATAATATAATAAGGTATGTTTTCATTAGTGTATAATAAGTTTTTTGTACAACTGATTTAGGAGAACCAATTTTCTCTTATTTAGAATTTTGTCTTAGGCATGAACACAATTGCAGTCCAGACCCTTGCAGGAGTCATGTGTAATTAGTCTGCTGTTATCCAAACACACGTTTTTTACTAAAGGATTGTATATTACATTACTATAAAGCAATTTTGAGTTTCCTTTGTAAATTACACTACACAATTACCAAAGATCCAGGGGAACATCTTTTGTTGTAATGCCTGACAACGTAAGATCACTATGGCACATATTCTTTCGTCTGTCTCCATGATGGAGACTTCCTCTTGACCCCCTCCTGTTGCAGTCATCAATCGCCTTGCTTTTCATATCAAACCAAGCAACAGTACGACCTTCAGGTAACACAGCATCAACAGCACTTGTTATTTTTTTTCCAGCTCATTGGCTCAAGCAGATCCTTTAATTCCACTGCTGAGGCTGTTAAACATTATAGACTTTCCTTTGTTCATCTCCAAGAGCAGGATTTCAATCAACGAGCATGTAAAGTTCTTCTTTTTACTCTTTCTTACCATTCTCATGAATGAACTTCCTCACGCAAATATTTCAAATCTTATCAATCAGACTGCCAGGATTTGAACCATGGGAATAACCAACTGATGATGACATTCTCCATCGCCAAGGTCATTATGTGGTGCCAGACAAGTCAACTAATACATATCATATATCCAAACCAGCAGCCACCTAATACAAAGACAGTCTCCTTTGCAAAGGGTTGATGTGTGTGTGTGTGTGTGTGTGTGTGTGTGTGTGTGTGTGTGTGTGTGTGTGTGTGGGTGGGTGTGTGTGTGTGGGTGGGTGGGTGGGTGTGTTAAAGTGCTGTGATCTGTGTGCATGTGACCAATGTAGGAAGCAGCTAATGAAACCTGTTTCACATGTTGTCTGAAGATGGACATGAGATGAAAAGAGAGATGCCGTCAGTAATGTAACCCTGTGTCCTCATATGGGGACAAAGTTTTATAGTAAATAAAGTCCTGATGATGATGCACTTTTGATAGGTACTGACCACTGCAGAACACCCCACAAGAGCTGCAGGTTTGGAGATGCTCTGACCCAGTCGTCTAGCCATCACAATGTGGCCCTTGTCAAAGTCACTCAGATCGTCACGCTGCCAATTTTTCCTGCTTCTAACACATCAACATTGAGGATAAAATGTTTACTTGCTGCCTGATATATTCCACCCACTGACAGGTGCCATGATAACCAGATAATCAGTGTTTATTCACTTCACCTGTCAGTTACATTTTATATTAACATAATAAGGAAATGTTACTGGAAAGTTGTAAAAATGTTGATACTGAACGTATCAGTAAAATGTTCACTGACACTTGCTCCTTTTCCCCAGTCGGTGCCAGATGGTCTTTGTTGCTTTGCACCTTTGCTTCTGAGCCTCTAAAACCTGAATCCTGAATCCTGTAACCTATACCTGGATCTCTACGTGCCTACCTGCACCTTTTCCGTATCCTATTCCTGCTATCCTGTACTTCTTCTGTTTTGACTTGTCAGTAAGTGTATGTACCTTCACCTCTCCAATAAGTCTCTGAACTGTTGTTGTCTGCCATGGTAGTCTGCATTTGGGTCCACTCTCCGTTGTCTCACACTCACCCCACAGAAATGGAAGCTGTAATTTGTTCAGAGCTATGCTCTGTGGACTGTGAAACATCTGGAGGAGGTGGCGTTTTACCTGATTGCAACACACACTCAGAAAGCTAAAATGAACAGGACATGGTTACCCTCTTCTTTTCATTCTACACGTACTTTTGTGTAATTTGCAGGATTCAGTCTGTTTTACCTACACTATGTGCAAGTTAACCAACATCAGTATGAAAGGAGAGAGAAGCATTAGATATGCACCAAAGTTTTACTGTGTTGTGGAATGTTTGTGTTTTTTTTAAGTATTATTTTTTTGGCCTTTTATTGACAGAGATGGCTAGAGAGAGACAGGAAAGGGAGGCAGAGAGGGGGGATGACATGCAGCAAGGGTCAGATGCGAACCCGGGCCACTGCGTATGTGGGTCACCAGCTCTACCGACTGAGCTAACCAGGCACCCCTGTTGTGGAATGTTAACTGGTCTTAGATGTTTCAGTTCATTACTGTTTTACAAGCTGCCAATTGGTTGAAATATGTTGTGTGAGGTAATGTTTATGCATCAATACCAGCAGCAATTCAAACCCACTTCTAAATCTACAGACAGTAAACACTGTGAATAACAATGGTGAGTCAAGAAGAATCTAAATCAGCTTGGAGGTCATTAAAACAGGCCCTTAATGGGTTTGTCTGGTTATCCTGAAATATAATTATTATATCATTAATTGTATGTATATAACGCCTTTCATTCGTGAAACGCAGCTCAAAGTGCTTCAAAGAATAAAAAATACATAAGAGCATATAGAGGTACCCGAAACAATATAATATGCAATGTTATTATAAGAGTAAAAAATTAAGATATAAACGATAAAGACAAAAGATATATTAAAAGACAAAAGGATGCAACCAGTGTAGATCAAGTCAGTCACATAGAAAAGTATCATAAATAAGCTGGGCAAAACTGTCTGATGAATGGTGATATTGATCCAACAGAAGCTAAAAAGGTGTGTTTCAGAGTATATGATGCAAATATGCACGCAGTCACACAGACACACAAAACAGTGGAAAAAACGACAGCAATATTTCTTTTTTTTTATAAAGTATATTTTTGGGGCTTTTATTGCCTTTATTACAGTGACAGCTGAAGATAGACAGGAAAGGGAGGCAGAGAGGGGGGATGACACGCAGCAAAGGGCCGCAGGTCAGGTTCCAACCCTGGGCCGCTGCAGCAAGGTCGCCTGCTCTACCCACTGAGTTATCCGGGCGCCCTAATTATTAATTAATTTACTCTTCTACTGTTTTGTTGATTTAGTCAAGGCCTGAAACACCCACATTATGAAGAAAGATCTACCAGTGTTTATAAAGTGTGTTCTTCACTGAAAACAAATGTGCCTTTTGGATTTACACATAATGATCATGGTTTGCCCTCTAGTGAGAACAGCTCTACTCCCAGATGTGTCCATGTGGAGGCTGCAGCTGAATTTCACAACCAGCTAATGTTGCTTCAGCTCAGCTTTAATATTTAAAAATAAATTTCACAGTGCAACAGTAAAGCTGTTGTAGTTGTAAACATTTAATATAGACCGAATCAGCCATAACATTGTGACCAACTGGGCACCCTGTCTCCGGTTCACCGCTTTTCCTTCCTCCTTTTGATAGGTTTAGAGTCGCTCGGATCCTCACGCTGTCCATTTTTCCTGCTTCTAACACATCAACTTTGAGGACAAAATGTTCACTTGCTGCCTGAAATATCCCACCCACTGACAGGAGCCATGATAACCAGATAATCAGTGTTATTCACTTCACATTTTATATTAACATAATAAGGAAATGTTACTGGAAAGTTGCAAAAATGTTGATACTAAACATATCAGTAAAATCTTCACTGAACGTATTTCATTGTTAGTCAGTGCTCACAATGTTATGGCTCGTGTATGTTAATCTCCAGCTCCTACTCAAACAAATTCCAGGGCTCCGGGCTAAAAGTGATGCAAGTTATTATTAAATAAGCTTTGGGTGTACCGTGACCTGATGTCTACGTTCTCACTGAGAACTCCAGAAGTAGCAGCTGTTGGGCTCAATTATTTTGGCATTCCCAAAACATTTGTGCGTAACTATGGATGGGTTCAGGTGGAACCTAACAGTAGAGAATCTAAGGCCCTTTCAAAGTTGAGATACCCCTACCTGAGGTAGAACAAACCACAACCATGTTTTTTGTATACAATATTTTACTGCAAAATCTGTTTATTTGGCTGATGTTTGGATCCTTAGTGAAAAATTACACTTCTCCAAAAGGGCCTTTTCCCATGTATCTCTGGAAAAAACTTTGAGAATGTCACAACAACATACTCGCATGCATACAATAAAGCAAAGATTTCATCAATACCTTCCATCTTTGAGATATACACCTAAACACGGATCAATTATAGATGGGAATTGAGTAGTAAAGTGTATATATGTGTCCATCATTACTAAAGTAAGGAAACTAATCATCATTTATATGTACCAAAGACTGTTGCAGAGGACACAAACAAAGACAAAAATGATATACTTTTCAATGCAAACTTGTTCAATAGACATTTCTTCATATTTAATGCAATCTTTCTATCTATTTTAATATTTTTTAAAATAACACTGGCAGTATACGGTTATGTAGTGGAATCTATGGAAGGTGAGCCATGGTGTATGTAGATATAAAAGGCTCATTCTGAGGTAACAAAAACGTGATTCTTATTTTCAGGTGATTATACACTAATGAAAACATGCCTATGAATGTTATATTAAATTTCTGCCAATAGATGTGACACACTGTACTTTTAACTGAACATTTTGACTGTATTTAGAGAAAATCAAAGATGAGTCATGAATTATATTATAAATGAATAATCAATTATATACACTGTGATTCATTGAGATTCAATGCATGGTGAGCCAGCTAAACAGTAAAACAAGGACATTTATTCTGTTGACTGACTGCATTGTTTGTCCTTGCAGTAGCGAGATGTGTTTGATCTTCCAGTTTTCGTAAATCACTGGTTCCATAGTCTCATATAACAGTCAGTACCCCTGTGAGGGAGCAATATGTTCACAGCGGCTCAGGAGTGGGAATAGCTTCTGGGGGAGGGACAACAGTGATGGTGTTCATCAGAGCTAGTCTAATAAAATCCTTACCCTTTTTTAAAAAAAAAATAAAGTAATTAAATTAATATTTTTACATTTAAATGTTTTTTTCTCAGGATTGCCATTGACATGTGCTTCACACTTTGAGACAACATTCCTTCTGTCCACTTATTGACCTGCAAGTGTAATGCACACAGGCTCTTTTCTATCCTGCCTTCTCTCAATCTCATCCCCCTCCTCTAGAGTTCAATTGTTGGAGGGATTACAACAAGGCCATGTGAGCAAAGAAAGACCACACCATTTCAGGGACCAGTGACGCCATGCAGTGTCATGACTGGTTAGCCATGGGCCACTGCAGCTCCAAGCACATTGAGTATAGCAGCGATATAATTAATTTAGAGTAACGTCACATTGGACAGACTACCAAAACAGAAAAATAAAGTGTCTTAATGACAGAAACAGTTGTCAGAAATACGAGACCCAACAAGGTAGTTTTATGTCAGGTCCATCCACTTTAAAGGAGGCAGACTGAAAGGACACTCATCATCCTGGTTCTTAATTTTTTCTATAGAACGACGCGTGGATCAGCAATGACACAACATAAATCCCAAAAGGGGGCGGGGGCTTGACACAAGGCCAAAGTACTATGGAAAACTAAACAATTTTTAGTCTTTCAGCTCACTGTTTTGGTTTTACAGCCTGTAACTTTAATAACACCACCACCACCACCACCGGAGGGAGCCAGGCCACGTGCCGGCATTGCCTGGGTTAATAAAATAAAAATGAAAATAATTATAAACAATGAATAAAAATCAGTGTTACATAATAAACATTTCCACACCTTGACCTTCAAATCACCAACAATCTATTTGATGCCTGCCACCATGTGGATCCACCAGTTGGCCTGCACGGTCCAGCCCAGCTGCTCACACACAGAGATTTGCTGGAGGAAGTGCTCCTTGGCCTCTGCCTCACCCTGTTCCTCCTGGAGCGCCTCCCGCAGGTAGCGCATGTCCTCTGCAGCACTCAGCTCCGGGATGCCTGTCAGCAGCATGAGGGAGAAAAGAGTGACCAGCAGACGAGAGTGCGAGCGCAGGGACAGGTACGCTTGGGTGCATGTGTCCTGATGTGGGCAAGAGATGGAAAGAAGGACAAAAACATAAGGACAAAAGATAATAGGATATTGTCTTTTCACTTATTTGCACAATTATCTATCCCATTTAAGTCATGTGACCCTAAAAACCTTTTTCAATTTCATCATCATTTGATGTGCTCATTTAGAACAGTTAAAGAGTAACTTAACACCAGGCTGAAAAGCAGTGTTTTGCTGCCCTCTGGCCGTACCCACCAGTGACGTCACCGAGTCCTGGAGTACACCTGTACTTCACTGCAGACAGGTGAGAAATTAAACTACTGGCACTGGAATTAATGCACCACAAATATGGTAGTATCCAAAGTGGTGATCTTTTTGGATATGGAAAGGTAGTGTCCATATCCAAACAATTACAGACTGGATCTTTGACAGATTTTATATGATATGATATGATATGATATGACATGCTGACATGATCTGGATAAATTTCCATAAACCTGGATACCATTGGATGTTTCTGGATACAGGTACTTTTTGTCCAGTGTGGAAGTCAGCAAAGACAAGATTTCCAGGGGGTGTTACGTTACTCTTTAAGGGAGGCACAACTTGTAATTCTTTTTCCCCCTTATTTCAAAAGTTTGCCTATACGCTGCTTAAAGGACAATACTAGTGATATTTTATATTTTTATATTTTATATTGTCAATAGATCTCATGAAAAAACACAACATGGAATTTATCCCACTAACAAGTGTTCTCTGTGTATCCAAACCCTGATATACCTTATTCCTCTGTGTCATACAGGTCTATTTTAATCCAAAAACCATTACAAATGTATCAGTTAAACTATATACTGTATTAATTTTGAAAGTTTTAAATGCATGTCTTCAATAGGAACCAATTGGCTTGAGGCTGGGATCCACAGTCAGGACAAGAAAGTTGTAAAGTATCGACACATAAACATATTAAAGGACCAGCGTGTACGATTTTGTAGCATCTAGCTATGTAGTTGTAGATCGCAACTTTCTTGCTTATATTCCATGTCTGCTGATAGATCCTCCTAAATTTTACACAATGGACCTTTAATGCATTGTCGGTTGTAGTCTTTACACAGGATTTGTTGACAGTAAGAAATATATAATGTAACTCCAGCCTTTTCCTTTAACATATCACACAACCACACCTACACACACATCATCTTCTTACCCTGAACCGCTGAAAGTAGAGGCTGTTGCGCCCTTTGACCCTGCCCATGACATACAGGAAGTCAGGTGTGAGGACGAATGGTACACGCTCCCTGTTCACACCGAGGAAGTGCTTCGTGTTGCCCAGGATGTGACCGAAGTCAATGTGAAACAGGTTTCCTAAGAGGTCCAGGAAATACAAAAGTTGTGTTGATAAACTCATGTCTTTTTATAATTCAATCTTTTGTTCATTCCTTCATTTTGTCTGAGATTTACATTATCTGTCATGTTACTCAATAACTGACTGACTGGATTGTTTAAATTTGCACAATTGCAAACAGGTTCAATTCACAGCCAGTGCAATGAGAATAAGGATTTGTGGTGCATACCTTGGTCTGTGATCATGATGTTGTCATTGTGTCGATCTCCTATACCCAAGACGTAGGTGGCCACACAGTAACCAGCGCAGGATTTCACAAATCTCTCCACAGTCTTGTAGTGCTGTAGTCAAATGAGAGCACAGCGAGAGCATGGACATGCATACGATTTTAATGAATTTGAAATAAAGGAATAAATGGTCTGCACTCATTTTTCAGACAAGCTGTCATGGATTAAATATAAAAAATGTTTTCACTGTATGAGCACAGTCAAACAGAAATGTTTCAACAGTTTTTCAAGGCATCCCCACCTCCTCTGCTCTGTGGGCAGCTGCACAGAGCACCCAGCACCTCTTAATGAGAAGGCCTGCATGAAGCTTGCTTTTTCATTTGTAATCAAATATTACAACTTAATTTGTATCCAAATCTTGTATTGTCTGTGTTTCCATATCACTTACAATCTCCTGGAGCGGACATTTGGACTTGAGCCACTCAAACAGAGCATCGTTTCTGAAGGCTCCATTTGTTCCTCCGTGGTTCCTCTGGACTACAGCGATGGTCGCTGCATTCCTCACAATCTCAATCATACCTGTTGAGGAGAAACTTGATGAAATTCACTATGACTTCTTTCAGATTTTTTATCACACTACATAGGACATCTTAGTCGTTTCCTGGGTGCTAGAACATATTTTCATTGTTGGAACAGTTCATTTATTACTGATGCCTCTATATGACCCACTTAAACAAACAGGACCAACAGCAAGAAGATTGGCTATGTCTATATAGTTATTCTCAGCGTTGTGATGCCTGCCACCAGGTTGGATTCGGCTCAGATTCTTCTCAAAATCAGACGAAATGTGGCAGTAGACAACAATGAAAGTTCCTTGTAGCTGCTTTTAATTTGACTTTTAGGCCAACATAATAAATAAATGATGAATAAATTATTTCTAAACAGCTGTGGAACTGCATTTACTGTAGATCTTCGTGCTCTATTGAGGGGTCTATAATTTGCTAGAAATGTCCAAGGAGGTTGTCTGAAAATATAATATGGTATTAAATACAGTGAATCCAAGTCAGGGGTTCTGTTGACTTTATAAGCAGTGGCTTGTAAATAAACGTTCAGTCAATATAGTTAAACAGCTGAATGAATAAATGTTCCAAATAATTAAAACATTTTACAGCGTTTTAGAGGAGGGGGCCTTCGACTTATGACCTCAGTATATCCAACTATATAACTCCTAAATACGGCCCTGGATTGAACCGCACTGATTTGAATACCTATGTTGTGTCCTGTGGAGATGCAGCCATATGGAACAAGGTTCAGGTCCAGAGATTTCTCCTGCCAGATAGAGTCCATCACCACCAGTGTCTAAAAAGGATGATACGTCAGGAAGAGTCACGTGTGAAATTTATTCACCAACATTATTTTATCAGTAAGATAGTAAGTAATTGAGGGAATAAAAATCTCATTTACCTGAAGGACCAACATGTCCTGCCTTAGGTCGTCACCCTGTTTGAAGATTATTCCCACAGGTGTAGCAGAGGTGGGGGACGGCATGGGAGAGAACTCCAGCCACAGTGGCTTCTTCTTAGAGGCCATCACCTTGCATTTGTCCAGCTGGATGAGAGAGATACAAGGAGTACTGATTTGCTTTTGTAAATGAATTTTAAACAAACACCAATGTCTCATATTTCAGAGTTTAGCAACATTAAAGGGTTATATATAAAGAAATTCACTGCCACTAGGTGTCGCACTAGAACACCAGCATCTCAAAACCAAAACAATGGGCACTACAGTGATCAGACTCCATTGACAAAACCACTAATTTTACCTGGCATATAATTGTGCAACAAAGTTCAAACTGAACAGAAACAAAATAAAATCCACCCATACCGTCTTTGTTAGTCTTTCCAACAATCATCAACTCTGATTTGTTCGAAATAAACCCTTAATCCAGAGAGTTAGATGAGAAAATAGTGTTGTTATGGCTGCCACGTCATGTTGGATAAGAAAATGCGCTCATAAAAGAGCTTGTTTTATCCACTGACAAGCTCAGATTGTTATTGTGTCTGAAAACATTATGAAAAGCAATCTCTACAAAGACAGACCTTTTGTTTAACCAGAAACAGCTGTAATATCGCTATCACTTCTGACCAGACTCCATAGACAAAAACAGTTTTTTACAAACAAATTTTACCTTGTATATCACTAAAACACATAAATCTCTCCAAACAGTCTTCATTAGTCTCTTCGCTGATCAACAATTACCAACTCTGGTTTGGTCGAAATAAATCCTTATTTCACCAACACAGATGAGAAAAACAACAGTTTCAGGTGCTGTACTCAGATATATACAGTGGGACTCACATGCACTATTTAGCTTTCAGGGGCTTTAACAGCTGAGAACTGTTTGTTTGTTTGGGTGGGAGTAATTACTTAAATCACACACATCTTAATTTGCTTGCCTTGACTCTGCTTATCTTGACAAAAAGCTACTTTGGACTCGATTGTATTGTCATTGTGAGAATGTCAGCATGCTGACAAAACAGACTTGCAAGGAAAACAAGGGGCTGTGCTGGTAGAGGTGTTACAACTCAGGAAAGCTTTCACGTGGTGATTATTTTATTATGTATTATATTATATATTTATATATATATATATATATATATATATATATGGTAAACAGTAAAAACATGCTGTTCTTGTTACAAGTTATCTACTAGGAATGTACAGTATGTGATGGGACTATGGCCTTAAAGTCGGTACTGTAAGTCTGATTCTTTTTATTTGACAAAATTTGTTTAGAAGTGGCTTTCTTCTCAAAGTTATATAAATTATATTGTATTGAATCGTTTGATATAATGTAGTAACTACATGTTCCTACAATGTAAAGCATGTTCAACATGGCGGACGCCATGGGAGCCACCTGCAGCCTCTGAAGATAAAAACAGCTCATTCTAAGGTAACAAGAACGCAACGATTCCTATATTCAGGTTATACACTAATGAACACATAGCTATGAATATTATATTCCTTTTCTGACAATAGAGCCTCCTAAATGTTACACACTGCACCTTTAACCAAGAGATAATTCCACATTCTTACTGCTGTAGCTCAGAGTAGCTAACACTGTAGATTGGCCTGCTGAAAAAAGGAATGAAGGGCCACCTTGCACCTTTATCATTTTGTTACGAACAAAATTTTACAAACAGAATTGTGTTTTCTCAGCAGAATGAATTCAATAGATCCTCAGAAATGTTACAAACTAGACCTTTAACACCAGCACTCACAGTTCATACACACATTTAAACATTAGCAAGGCTTACCAGGATCATTCCAGCTTTAATGCGGGGGTCAAAGGGCAGCAGGAACTCAATTGGCAGATTACAGTTTCTAAGAAGCTCTTGGAGCTTGAGGGGAGCTGAAACAGCAACACCACAGAAACACAAAGACACAATTAGCAGTAGTACAAAAAATGTAACATAAAAAGGAAAAAGAATCACCTCCAAGGAACTCCACGGCTTAGTGCAAAAGAGATGTCTTTGTCAAAAACTCATTCTTATATTAATAACACTGGCTGATGAGCACCAGGTGTGCAGCACCACTTAATATACATACAGAAACACAACCAGACACAACTCATTGCAGATGCTTAGCAGTGCTTGAATAGAACATAGGCTCCAGTGTGTGTGTGTGTGTGTGTGTGTGTGTGTGTGTGTGTGTGTGTGTATTTTGTCTAAAGCCACCAGTGCACATGCACTGAGAATGGACTTAACAGTGAAGTAGGAGAGATCTTGTTTCCAGCTGGAAATCTCTAGAAATTAAAAAAAACTGCATATATAGATTGTGGAATTTTTAATGAGGTAGAAGGAGAAGATGTATTTTAAGGGTTTTAATGGGGAAATTATACTTTTTTTTTTTACATTATTTCTCCAAGTGGAAACATTTTCTGTCTTATTACATGTCTGAAGGGGATCTTTAAAAAATTTGGGGACATTGTGGTTGCTGTCATTATTCTATATAGTGTGTTGTATTGTTTTTTTTAAAGTGCTTTGTTGTATTCAATCCAATCTAGTTCTAAACATTGTAACCATTATGATGTTACTATATCATCACTGTTGATGATATAGTCTGCTACTGTTGGCTTTGGTTTGAATGCTACAAATACACAAGGAGTCTGCACAGACTGGAGGGGTGGAGTTTGAAGGACCAGACAAGGGGGATTTAGCAGACAGGGAGAGTGTAATGAAAAGTTTGGGAAGTGCAGGCTCCAGCCTTTTTTTTTTTATTGACGCATACTAGGGACCCAAAGTCAGGCGCTCTCACCCTCTGCTGCTTCAATTTTGACAGGTTTTAAAATGTCATCACACCTTTTTCTTTATTTAACCACCTACGTTCTGTTGATATTGAAAAAACAATACAAAAACAGTCCAACAGATAAACAATACTAAAAAAACTGATGACAATACTCATTTTGACTTTATTCTACCATAGTAATCATAGTAGTATCAGAAGTATAACTTAAGTATACTAATCCATGAGAATATCTTTCCTACATGTGTCCCACCTGTAGGGGAAAGGTTGTCAGGGTAGAAGTTTTTAATCATCACAGCAACCTCCTGTAGAGCCTCCACAGCCTGGACCTGCTGGGTGAAGCTGTCAAGCATGGCCTGACCACAGCCCAGCAGGTAGGCCTCCAGAATCACAGCCATGCGCTGGCGGAAGTAGGGACAGCCTGCCACCTCACTGCGAACATACCAGAAGAAGAAGTGGCCGATTCTCTTGCTCTGCAGAGAAGGAGGAGACAGTCGAGGTGAGGTGCGAGAGTCAGTGAGCAGGATACAGACACAGGTGTAGCTGCACATTTTGGTGGGACTTTTGCTCGTTTAAAAATAAGTTCCTGAATTTTGAGCACAGGGCAGTAAAAAAACAATGTACTTTTATATAATCCTGGTATAGTATGATGTGTCATGTACACTGAATAACAGGATGCTGCATAAACTCACCTGCAGAGCTCTTTGGATAAGGTACCGGGCGAGGAAACTGTCATGGTAAGGTTCCACTTTCAGAGTCTGTATGAATAAACAAGATGGAAAGAACATGAAGCAGAGAGGAGCAAGAGGGAGGATGGCCGTCTGCGCCCACCTAGGAAGGCCAAGACCTTAGCGGGGGTCATGGCAGGGTCAGCTCTAGGGTGCCAGGAGACAAAGCTGGCAAGAAAACCACCTTGGCTTCCCTGTCGTCATACTGGCCTCCATCGGACTTGGAGGCTGTTCAGTCCCGGGATGGCTGTGTTCACATTGTGCTCAGGTAGCTACAGTATCCAGCAACAGTTAACTAGCTAGCTGGATACTTTAGCAACAATAAACCAAATGTTATATGTCCACCAGTAAATAAATCACTGAGATATGAGGCAAAGAGCATCCGACATCAGCAGGACATCAGAGGGAAAACCAGATAATCTTTTCTCCCAAAAAATATGATCCACTTCCACCAAAATCAGTCAATAAAGTTGTGTTTCTGTACAGTAATCAGTGAGGCTTGTAGGTATTATAAACAGTTCATTAATCAAACGTAGTGCCCCATATCACTATTTTGCTGGTTTCATCTAAAGTAGGTTTCTCTCCTCGCACACACAAATATCCATACGCATTTGCAGATCTGCCACGGCTGCACGCTCTCATATAAAGATAGGAAAATACCCCCATAGATTTTCCCCTTGGGTAATTGAGCAATAGATAAACTCTTTTGAGCTGGATTCATTAATTATTTAATCACAGTTTATTAGTTTACATATTTTTTGTTGTTTATTTGTTTAATTCACATATTTTAGGTGCAGATATAAAATAAAAAACTTTGGTGGTAATAGGTGTGGTGTTTTTACACTGGATTAAAATGTAGTTATTTTATCAGTTCCTAGTCTTACCCCCTTAGTCTGACTCACAGGAAGTAGGCTGGGGGTATAAACCTGCCATTGGCTGACTATTTCCATCAGCTTTCTCCTCCCCTTCCACTATCTGCATGTTAATCCTGTGTTAAGGCCACCTCCTTTATCTGGGTATGTGTATGTGTGTTGTGCAGCTGGGTCATGTTAAACAGGATGTGTGACCCCTTGCCGAGGATTGGCTGGGGCGAGACCTGCCTTCTTCCTGGTTCCAGCCGATGATCTGATTGGTGCGGTGTCTGGCAGTCCCTCCAATCATCTACCGCCTTCCTCTATTTAAATAGCTGCCTACCTGTTGAATGGGCAGTTGTGATTTTGCCCTTGATCAATTTGCCTTGTGTATATTGTGCTCTACTGTGGTAAATCTGTTAAACTTCTGTAGAAGCTTTACTTAGTGATTGACAAGTGTAGAATATTTGTTTCCTGTGTTGCCTTTCTCTGAGAACTGTGGTAAGGAAATTGGGCAAGGATCTAGGTGGGGGTAACTGACACACACCAGACACTTGTAGATTTATTTTATGTTAGACACACTAGGTTTTAGAGGGTGCTGCTTACTTTGTATTTTTGATTATTGATGACGGGTCAGAGTTTTGCTTAACTTGATTTTGAAGTAGTCAGTGGCTATCTCTCATTTTGGAGAGACCTCTTTAAGTTATATTTGTTTCTTTGAGTTAAGCAGCATCCAACAGCCCTTTTCCTGTTTTTCTTGTGAATCCTGCAAATAAATAACTTGCAATTTTACCAAAAACATTCTGGTTCATGTTGCTTCCCTCTCCCCCACGAGCCGGGTCGTAACACCTGAGATATACTGTTTAACCACACATTCACTATGCATATTAATTTCTGAGGATGTGCATAGCCAAAGGTCCAAACAGATGCACGATAGGCAGTCACCATGCCCACGCAAACATGTAATTAAAAGTGGTGTATTTTAGACCTTACCATTTTGCAAGGGGCACCGTTACTGCATTCTGGGCTTAGGGCTGTCCACGGTTTGGTTAAAAGAAATACAAACAAGCCAGAGCATTTTTCTCCCCTTCACCAGAATAATGATGAGTTCAGCCAGACCTTTCTCCGGTCATGGCACAGTGCTAAAACGAAGCGTGGAGACTGGGGCTCTGAGGCTAACTGTACATAAACTTTGTATGTGTCTTGATTTTTTTCAAATCAAACTTCAGACAAACTTTGGTTGTGTCTATTTAGATACAAACACATACCTGAACCAGCTGCAGCAAATACTTCAATACATCATCATTGGACAGGCTCTCCAATCTCTGGACTGCTAGTCTCCTGACCGTCATGTCAGCAAAGTCCATGCTCAACAGCTCCAGGGCCACTGTTACATCCAGCTCCCCAGGATCCCAGTTTCCCAGTAGCCAGTGGACATCCTCAACCACTCTGCGGTTCATCCAATCAACATTGCGCAAGTAATGGGGTAGATTTGAGGCATAGCGGATGCTCTCTTCCCGGAACCTTTTGAGGCCAGCCTTGTTGGTGCTGATGACTGAAGATGGGGATCTCAGAATCACACTGTCAGATGATGGGCCCTCGGATGGTTTTATGTCCAGAGAGCAAGAATCTGTGCTGGGTACGGTGGAAGGGGGTGAGGAGGAGAGTGTATAAGAGGAAGCAGTGGATTTGGTCCGGGTGAGGCTGGAGGTGGGACTGTCAGAGCATTCAGAGGGGCTAAAGCTATTTGGGAGAACCACAGGGAAGCTGTAGCGGTCAAGAAGGAAGCTGATAGCCATGGAGTCAGCTATCTCTGGGTTCGTGGCAGAGGACAGCTTGTCTGCCTGGTACGTGATGGCCTCTTCCTCCAGGTCAGGGTAAGACCACATGTGTAGGGTGTAGGGACCCTGGCTGAGGATTGACCTGCAGGGATGAACAAGTGACGGCAATTTGATTTGTAATAAATTAGTAATAGACTAATAGTGTTAAAGAAACATGGCAATTCAACATGGAAGGTGACTCGCAGCATCTGTAGAAGATATAAAAGGCTCATCCTAAGGTAACATAAACATAATCATTTCTATATTCAGGTGATTATACGCTAATGAAAACATAGGTATGCATATTATATTCCATAGATCGTCCTAAATGTCACACACTGGACCTTTAAGTATAAAAGATTCAGTAGGAAATTCAACCAACCAGTTGCTCTTTAATCAGCAACAGGGAAATTTCATGCAAAATACATCAAAACGTTGTAATTGATATTAAATACCTGACCTGTGATCTATAAGGAGAAGATTGACAAAGTAGAGCACCTTCCCTTTTCCTTTCTGCTGCTCTGGTGTTTTATTGACTGAAGAGGATGGTGGCTTTGCGTCTTTGGTTACTGGGGAGATATCACCACTAGCATTAATAGTAAAGCCCAGCTTTGCTCCACGTGGCAGATCCCTGAGGAGAAGGTCAAAGTCCAGCCACTCATTCCACAGTACTTCATCTGCGAAAGCCTTGGGGAGGGAGGACACTGAAGAGAGAACCTTGTTACCATAAAGGATAGAGGCTTTTACATAAACAGACTGAGGGCATTTGTTTGGAAGTTTCGGGATGTCAAAGCCAAGCAATTTGACTCGGAGTCTTCTGTTGCAGTCCCACAAGGATATCATGAAAATGTCATCCAAATCCTTCCCTTCGAGGCGGAGATCATCGTGGGAGCTGAACTGGCCACTGGAACCATCAACAAGCGACCAGTCCACAAACTTGACAGTCTCATCGGCAAGCTGTGACACGGGGACCACAGAGAGGTGGAGGTCTTGATTGTTTTTCAAGCACTGGCGAACCCAGAGAAAATCGCTAAGGGGATGGTCTCCAGATAAAAACTCCTCCCTGCCAGAAACTTTCAAAACCAGATCATCAGAAGTGTCGTAATCAAGCCCCTGGTCTGCCACCACCCTCCTAAAAACCCTGAGAAGAACAGCTGGCATTGCACTAAAATCAACCTGTATGCTGAAGCTGATCTTGTTCATGTAGTGGAGGGTGACCGGGAGCTTTCTGTTTATCTGGTCCTGTAGGTCATTTGGAATAGGGGCACATGTTACCCAAGGCTCTGTGGCATATAGCTTGTCATCCCGATTCCTTAGCTCTTGTCTTCTCGGAGATGCCAGTTTCCTGCGGGTGAATGTGAGCTCACCAAGTCTGTCAGACGCTTCTTTCTCCAGGTTGTGTCCAATCAGGTATGCCAGACACTCCTGTTGTTTCTTCTCCTCCTCTGAATCAACTGCCACCAGTGGTTTTACCACTATGTGTGCTAACAGAAGCCCGGTGTCGTCATGTGACCATGGAATGTCTAACGTCCTGATAACCTGACAGTCATCGTAGGCCTCGTACCAGTCTTCCCCCCTGGCATATAGCAGAGTAAATTTCTCTGGGTCCAGTATTGCAAGTGGGTCTGGATGGCAACTTTGTTCCTGGGCCTTAAGGCATAGAAACAGATATTGGAAAAATGTTGATGGTTGCAGTTTGATTATATATTTAAACAAGACTAGAAGTCTAGAGCCACGCTAGTATCACAGCTTTAAGATGCTACTGTTAGGATGCTAACATGCTTACAAAGACATTGCTGTAAATGTCCCGAAATTTAAAAAAAAATCTTAGTTTAGTGTGGCAGCATACTAACATTTGCTAATTAGCAGTAAACACAAAGTAAAGGCTGATGGGAATGTCTTTAGTTTTGCAGGTATTTGGTTAAAAAGTAAAGTAAAACTTTGTCCTAATTATGGAATAAATCCGTAGTTTTTAAAACTTTTTTAAATATATACCGATCGTAGGTCAGCAGACCATGCAATAGAGGTTTGCCTACCTGCATACAGATGCGTAGCCGCAGCTGGTAGACGCTGCACTGGGCAGGGAGGATTACTGACACTGACTCACAATCCATGTTGACATTGAAATCCTCATCACCAGACTCTTGCGGTGGACCGGGCCCGGGCTGAAACTCACAGATAAACTTCAGGTTGTTCTCAGAGCAGTTTTGAATCAACATCCCAGAGAGACGCTGTGAACTGCCGGCCTGATTCAGGAACAATGCAGGATCCATCAATACTGTAGGGGAGCAAAACCTAAACTTTAATATGCTTTAAAAAACCTGATCCTATTAGATCTTTCGCTGCAGTATGATTCACAGGTTGTTAACATGTCACTGCAGATGTAATGTGAAGCAAATCATTAAGAAGACTAATAAAATCTTACCACGACAGGTGCTGCTTTCTTAAGATCCTAAGGTAGAGTCCGTGTGAGTCTGTACCTATTTGACGGTGTGACACTGTGCCTTCCTTTTTTTGTGATCGCTCGGGGACTTCCTCATTCTTTTATACCACAGTTCTCAAACACCAGCGTATAAATACTAACTCAGTATTAACTGACATTGTAAAGGCACTGACTTCCTTGTTCCCTTTATACACTTAGATAACAAATTAGAGTAGCCTTTTCTGACATTTTCATAGTTCTGGGTAAATAGTGCTTTGACACTGTTACACAATAAGCCTTTGATTTACCGGTCAACGTTAATTTTTTTGTCAAAAACATGGCAATAATAAAAAGGAGGAAAATGTTTATGGTATTTCAATTCATAATCAGACACAAAAGGGAGCAGTATTAACAGGAATGCACCAAACTTGTTTGGCTTGTTTGGCTTGCTATTCTGCAGAGGCGTTGTAAAATGCAGGGTGAGTGTACCTTAAATCCACCTGTCTTTAAGTGAAAGGTACAATAACTGGTATTTTACTGGGCAAAAAAGCCATAATGCATCATTTTCAAGTGGTGCTTATGATTGCCAGTCATTTACTTAACAGATGCGTTCACTTCCTCTCTGCAGAAATCACCCCTGCGTTATTGAAATATTCAGTACAACACTTTGCTTGTGACAAGGATGGAAAAGGACATGTTAATCACTGATCTAAAACTGTTTCTTAAACTTTTTACACCATGTACCACATCATAAAATCTCACTGTTAAAGTTAGTGCTGGGCGATATACCGGTTTTAATGTTTCTTGTGCAATAGAACATTTGAGAAATATCTGTTTGAATACTTAAATTTTTTTTATTTTATGTCAGTTTATAGTGTTCATGTCCATCCAGTAGCGCTGTGTGTTACATTCTCCATTAACTTACTGCTGGACTCAGAGCTCCTAGTGAACAGCACATCCAGACCGGGACCGAATACAGCATTCGATGCTGATCCCGAGCCTCACGCAACCCTGGGAATAAGTTAGCTAATGTTAGCTGCATGAGCTAACAGCATGTAAGGTGACAGTTAGTTACTTTTAGCAAACTCAGTAAATCACCTGACGTCAAACTGTCCTCTGTCTGTCTCAGAGGTTGTGGTCACTGGAAGGCTGCTGAGCCCCGTTTGGTTGCATGCAGCAGCTACAGCAGCAGTTAGCAGAGTTGAGGCAGAGCAGACGGAGGATGTCAGAGGGAAAACCAGACAATGTTTTTCTCCATAAAATATGATCCAGTTTTAACCCAAATCACTGATGATGTTGTGCTTTAGTATAAGTGAAAGCTGGTTCTGATAGAAACACAGAAAACACAATGCATCGCAGTTTGTTGCGTACAGGGCTGCAGAACATTATTACCAATAATAGTGTTTTTATAGACCCATATAAAGGCCCAGTCATGCAAAAATAAATAAATGCACATTTTTGGTAATACCAGACATTGTTTAATATTTCAACAAGACCCCAACCTGTCCCTGACTCTTACCAAGTGCTGTGAGTGCTTAAACATTACCATAAAGAAGTTTAATCACGCCTTAGCTGCTACAAGCAGATACTGCATGCACAAATGGATACTGTAGGGAAGTATAGTGTTACTGGAGGCTTTGTATTGTATAATATCTAATAGAAGTATAACCTAGAAGAGGAAGTAGTGTAGTTCTCCTTTGAATTCTTCTGATGTAAAAACATGCCTTGTGCATGGCCTGTTCTGGTGTTTGTGTACACCTGGATTCAAACTGTGGGTATATTTGTAATGACTCTGAAAAACAGCAAGCTTGAACCCAAAAACACAACTCGCAAGCAGGTTAAGGCAAAAGTTCACATTTATTCAAATCAATAGACAGCCAGAGGTCAAAACCACATAGGCAGTCAGAACAGAGGTGGATGGGTGTACACAGCATTTAATTAGGCAAAAAAGCAAAGCTTGCTCATACACCAATCAGCCATAGCATTAAGACCCCTACCAACAGACTGCTCTGCACTGTGTGTTCTGACCCCTTTCTATCAGAACCAGCATTAACTGTTTCAGCAGTGTGAGCTACAGTAGCCCTCCAACCAATCCTCTGCAATTATTGTATTATTACATTAGAATTACAACCGAATATTACAAACAACTAACTAAACATATCTCTCACATCTCTGTAGTACTGGCCACCAACTGTTTTTTGGTTTGTTTTGCAACATAACATACCATACAGACCACAATAGTTACCTCACATCAAGACAATACAGTATGTTGCTGACAGCAAAGGGAGGGAGAAGCTGCCAGATATCTTGATGTGTGGGTTCCCGGTTAGCTCAGTGGTTAGAGCTGGTAACCCATGTACTGAGGCCCAGTGTCCGAATCTGACCTGCAGCCCTTTGCTGCGTGTCATTCCCTCTCTCTGCCCCCTTTCCTGTCTATCTTTGGCTGTCCCTATCAAATAAAGGCCAAAAAAAATACTTTAAAAAAAGATATCTTGATGTGTGTCCATGAGGGTAAAGGGAAAAAAACAGGGTGGAATTGGAATAAAAAATGTGAGATGGTTGTTGAAGACATAAATTATGGTGTGTGTTTATAAACCTACATGTGTAATAATGTGTGTGTGGATGTTCTTGTACAATGTAGTGTCAAAGAGGTTAGAAGGTAGTGCACAATGCAATGTTGGGAACAGGAACAACAGCAACATGTTTGATGGTTAAAACAAAGTCAGGAAGGAAACAATTAAGGGAACAATTAAGACAAAATTGTAGTTCACAATATTTATACATTATTTTCTCGTCTGTCAGTTTTTCAGATCTAAAGGAGCTCTAAACTTATTATGTATGACACATAGATGGCAACATTTATGTGTAAATGGTCCAAATGTAGCGAATGCCTCATGTAGGCTGTGTCCTTACTGCAGCAGCCTGGGTTCGATTCCAACCTCAGGCCTTTGCTGGAAGTTGTCGAATATAAATCACAAATGAACAAATATGTCAAATATTCAAATGTTCACCGTTGGCTCCAGCCATATATTTATCAGACAGATATAAGAGTGATGTCAATTAATAATGACAAATTAATAAATAAAAAAATGTATTTCCATTTTTTGCCAATAGATCCTCCTGAATCTTACACACTTTAACATTACATCACCGTCACGATCATTAGTAAGGCCAAAATATAGGCTATACAATATGACATACAAAAAACAATTACACAACTTTACAGAAGCATGTGTCAACTGACTGTCACACTGATTACATCCTAGAAAACAGAACAGTAAGTAAGCACTTCAAGGTTGCTGTATTTTATATAATATAAAGTGTGTCCAATATATTAACCTCAGTGTGCTTTTATTAATCTGACTGTTGCTTAAAGCAGACATGTACGCCTTGAGGACAAATAACAAGTGACTTGCATAAGGTCTCCATCAGTAGCTGAATGATGGGGCTCCAAATTTATTTGTTAAGCACTTTAAAACAACCAAAGTTGACCAAAATGCTGTACAGGAGAATAAATAAGACATCATAAATAAAAGACATAACAGCTCACATGAGGCGCAAAATTACATATAAAATACGACAATAAAATGAAAAGACATAAAACATGAGTAAAAATAATAGCCACGCAATAAAAAGCAATCAAAATAAGAAATTAAATCAAGTAAATAAAGTCGACATCTTTTATTGGATGTCAAAGGCCACAGAGAAGAGATGGATTTTAAGACGGGTTTTAAAAACAGACAAAGAAGAGCCTGTTTAACGTGCAGAGGCAGATCATTCCATAATTTAGGAGCAGACACAGTAAGAGCACGGTACCCTCTGAGCTTCCGCTTAGCTTTAGGCACACTCAGGAGCAGCTGATCATCTGACCTGAGTGCATTGCAGTAATCCAGCCGAGTGGTAACAAAGGCATGGATTACAGTCTCAAAGTGCTGCCTTGATAGAATTGGCTTTATTTTGGCCAGCTGCCTCAAATGGGGGGGGTGCAGTGGTGCCACCAAAAACCATCACTTCCGTCTTTTTATCACTGAAATTTTAAAAGTTCAGAGCCTCCCAGGCCTTTATGTCGTAAACACTTAAGTAGCAGTCTGACAGAGTATTCATTTTTCTTTTTAAGAGGCACATAAATCTGACTGTCGTCTGCATAACAGTAGAATGAAAAGCTGTGCTTCCTAAGTATGGAAGTATGGAAGTGGGAGCAAATAGAGAGAGAAAAGGAGAGGGCCAAGAACTGAGCCCTGTGGGACCCCACACGAGAGAGAAGCAGAGGAGGATACAGAGTCACCTAGGCTGACACAGAAAGTTCGATCAGCCAAGTATGACCTGAACCACTCCAGTGCTATGCCCCTGATGCCCACCCACTGCTTCAAACGTGAGATCAATATTTCATGAGCCACTTTGTCAAATGCAGCAGTTAAATCTAAAAGCACAAGGATAACACAATCACCAGAGTCAGTAGCTAAAAAGATATTATTAAAAGCTCTTAAGAGAGCTGATTCTGTGCTGTGCAGGGTTTTAAAACCGGATTGGAAAACCTCTAGGATATTATGTTCTTCCAGAAAGGCCATTAATTGACTGTGCACAATCTTCTCCAGGATTTTTGAAAGGAAAGGCAGTTTGGAGATAGGCCTGAAATTAACAAGAACTGCAGGATAGAGCAGGTTTTTTTTCAGAGATTGTACTACTGCATGTTTAAAATTTTCAGGGACCACACCTGAGGTCAGACTGCTTTTTCTGACCGCAATAACAGATGGTCCTACAGTGGAGAAAACCTCCTTAAATAGTCGAGGGGGGACAGCATCATTTGGAGAACCTCAGGGCTTCAAATGACCAACAACCTCCTGTAAAGGAAAAAGTCACAGGCTCAAACTGGTCAAAGACAGCAGAGCAGGGGACAGAGATTGAGGGGTCATAAGCTGAAGGTGAGATTTGAGCCCTAATTGAAGTGACCTTATCAATAAAAAAGTGAAGGACGTTTTCACACACAGCAGGGGACGCCTCCATACAGGCAGTCTGCGGGGCATTCAGAAGTGAGTCAATAGTGTTCAACAAAACACGAGGCATGTGACAGTTTGATAGGATAATATCCGAGAAATGTTTTCTTTTAGCATCTTTCACAGTTTTCTGATAATGACGCCAGCAGTCCCTTAACATTTGAAAAGACACCTGCAGTTTGTCCTTCTTCCACTTGCGCTCAGCTCTACAGCACTCACGTCTGACCGCATGAGTCATATCATTTAACCAGGGCTCAGATTTAGTTTTAGGCTGCCTGGATTTTAATGGAGCCACAGTGTCTAAAACAGTTGGGCAGGTGGAGTGAAACCATGAGCTAAGCTCCTCTGTACTGCACACAGACTCAGGAAAGATGGAGTTCTGACTGAAAGCAACCGAGAACTGAACAGCAGTGGAAGGGTTAATTATGCGACAGTGCCGAGCATACAGGCATATGGTCAGAAAACACTGTGTCACATATCTCTAGGTTAAAAACGGGCAAACCATGTGATAAGACAAGATCAAGTGTGTGTCCGTGTTCTTTGTGTTATATGACAAATAATAAGGAGCATTGCAACAGAATAACAGACTTAAATCAATCCAGTTTTGGGACACATAACCCAAACAGAACACTGAGACATATCAATAATCAGCAGCTTGACTATGACAATAAAAGTTGAATAAACCCTTTTTCATTAAATGTGCAACAGAGGTGCAACAGGGAACATTTCTGATGAAATAAACCAAAACAGCTTGTACACTGAAGGGCTTCCTGACGTTAAGAGCAACACTGCTCTTCATCAGACTAGAGCAGTGATTCCCAACCTGGGGGACCGAAGCATCATGGGGGGTTATGAGACCTTGATTTTAAGGCCTGCTAAAAATCCTAGGCCTATATCTCAGCATTTGGTTAATAAAGTAAATTGTCAAATAGATTGATGGCCAAGTGTCAGGGACAAGAAAACACTATATCTGCCAATGAAGAAGCCTAACATTGTTTGTTTGTTGTACACAAACTTCTTGCAGTTACATTGTTCACTATTTCGGTTCATTGTACAGTTTTAAATATAACGTGAAATCGTCAGTCTACTAAATGATAGGGTGAGGCTAGGATGAATGGGTTGGGAACCACTGGACTAGAGTGACAATAAATGACGGCATCTTAAATACATGTGATAGAGTCTCATGATAAGTCACATGAACAGAGTCTCCGTAGTAAAATAGCACAGACAAAAGCATCTGTATCCATATATACATACAGTCAGAAATATAATATCCATATATACATTCATAATAGTGTACTTCACCTTTCACAAAGTACCTGATGTAATAGTGTAAGATAACATTCAATAAGTACCCCCTACCTCAAAAATACCTGAAAACACAATTCATAAATTTACAAAAATCTATCATAGACATTTCAGTGTGTCAGTAACCACATTCCCATGGCTGATGGCTTTAATAGCAAATGCTTTCCCTGTGCGTGGGTGATTGAATATAATTTTGGGCAGGAAATGAGACACTGTTGACAGTTACTACATTTGTATTTGCTTGGTTCCACAGGACTCAATCCACAGGTTGGTGGGGGACTAGGTGGACATTTGTCTGAGGTTAGGAGGTCTTAAAAACAACCTAAGGCAGGTTGTCCAAGTGTCTTTGAGGGCAGAGTAAATGGCTACAATGTGCCAATGTTTTTTGATGACATAGACATTTCTTTGGTCAGAGGTGAGTGCTGAATAGCGCAGGTGATCCTGTTGTACTTGGTTTTAGGCCTGGTGGTGTTCGAGCACTCTGTGTTAAGTTGAAAAAACTGTTGGAGGCTTGTGTCCCCTGCCTGCTTCCTTTTTTGTGGGAATAAGTATTCGAAGTCTGTCATTTTGTTTTTTGTGTCTGAGCTGCATATGCAGCATATACATTTTTCATTTTCACATTTCTGAACACCAAACCACACCTATCCTACGGAGCCCCTAAAGGGACATGGGGAAAAAAAACCCAAAAGAAACGTTTCTAGTGCGCACTAGATACTATCTTGTGAGCACTAGATACTATCTTGGGCGCATTAGATACTATCTAGTACTATCTAGTGCGCACTAGATACTATCTTGTGCGCACTAGATACTATCTAGTACTATCTAGTGCGCACTAGATACTATCCATATTGTGGCAATCAACACATGGCTAATTTTAATATTCAAATGAGTATTAAACTAATTTGTCTGTAACTAAAAAATAAATGTAAATTAATCTGTAACCTTTTTTGTTACAGTCCGCATTTAAATGCCCTGTCCTGCAGCCGGACACTCATTTGTCCTCCTTTTGAGAAAATAACAAAAACAGTCCACCTTTTGACACATTACCTTGTTAGTTTAATACTTATTGGCTTAAAATGTGTGTCAAAATAAGTAATTTCATTGGTTACATTTTCGTGTTGTGACCTATTAACACATGGCTAATTTTAATATTTAAATGAGCCATGTGCTGATTTGCCACAACACTCGATCTGTATCTAGTGCTTGATCTAGTGCGCACAAGATAGTACTAGATACTATCTAGTGCTAACAAGATCGTATCTAGTGGCATAGTCTATCTAGTGCGCACTAGAAACGTTTCTTTTTTTTTTTTTTTTTCCATGTTCCTTTAGGGGCTCCGTACCTATCAGATCAAATAAAAATAAAAGATTTTAGCCAGTTTGCATCTTCATTTGAATAATTGAAGGTGTACCCAGTTATGGTTTCTCAAGTCTCAGTTTATCAAAACCAGTAGGCAAGATGAGATTTTTACAGTAACTATGCATTTCAAATCAAAATTATTTTCTCCTAAATCATCGAATTGAAAGATAAAGCTGTGTTAGGCACTTTGTGACCACTAGAGGGCAGAAGAAAAGATATTTGCAAAATGTATGACTTAGCCTACTTCTCAAGTCATGATTGATTTATTAGCTCCTGCACTAGCAATGGTTGCCTATGTTTTATACCACATTGCACTCTTTTGGTTTGTAGTATTGAAAGGCAAGTAAACATTGTGTCCAAAGATCCAAAGAAACTTCTCAAAACTACTCTGCAATTCTCCCCTCTACAGCTGTATTCTTAGTTTGCTCAGTTATATTTTTTCTGCTTTATATTTTACCATCTACAATAAATCTTACATTTTCAGTTTCTCCCACATATTCATTGTAAAAAACATCCCAAAATCCATTGCAATTTTTTTTTTTTTTGAAAAGCTGTTGTGAAACCAGGCATTTTAGGCCACAAAAAGCCTGTGAGTTCCTGGAGGGACTGTTGGTTGTCAGACACCTTTGGACAGAGACTTCCCCTGTTTCTATTCTTTATGCTAAGCTAGGCTAACCACTGCCTGGCTCTAGCTCTGTATTTAACACCCAAACATGAGAGTGGTGTCGATTTTCTCATCTAATTCTCTGCAAGACAACGAATACTGGTGAGCATATATCCAAAGATGTCAAACTCTTACCGGTAATTTAAAAGCATCTTTACATCTTTTTCAGATGAATTGAACCACTTCATTGGCCATACCTGGACTTCCAAACATCCATCCCACTCTTTGTTGCTGAGTCCTGAAGAGACTAAAATGTTTCTGTTCCAAAGCACCAAGGATTATTTCATTATGGATTTTGCTGCTAACTTAAACTATTTCATATCATCATCCACATCATTTTAAACAGACATGATAACTGAAGTGGCCTCCTCTGTTAAACATCACATTGGCCACTGACCTCAACTTATCCCGCCTGAGCTCCTTTTTGACGCACGTTTCCAACTCTTATGTCTTCCATTCGGGGCACACCCGCGCCCCTCCTCTCCGTCCGCCACCGGCACAGGTTGAGCAGCGACATCCTTATCTCGACGTTCCTCATCCCGTACACCAGCGGGTTGATGCATGGTGGCACTAAAAGCAACATCAGCAAAGACATGTGGAGCGCGGCCGCCGTGGCCGGCATAGTTGCCACCGTCGCCTGGCGCGCACCTTGAGATTGAGGGGACTGTGCCATCATAGCCTCGGTCCCCTCAATCTCCCACAATGCATCCGAGGTGACTTTGAGCAGCAGCGGCAGCAGCTGCAGGACCAGCATGCCGCAGTAGAACAGCACAGTCTTGCGAGCTGCGGTGTTGACCGTGTTGAACGGTACCATCGCCTTGCGCGCGTCCTGGTACATCCTCAAGTAGGAGAACATGTAGACCAGCAGGCACAGCAGCAGAGTACAGGAACCAGCCAGTTTGCGAAAGACGGCAGCGGCATGCGGGAAACCCATGTGCTGCTCCATCATGTCCGGCTCGCACAGCAGCCCCCTGGTCACCTGTTCATTCTTCTGCTCTGACCCCGTGTGCAGCAACACCATGTTGATGCTGCTGATGGAGATGGAGTAGACCCAAATAAGGCTCAGGACTAGCCGCAGGCGCCGCTGAGTGATGATGACCAAGTAGTGGATGGCGTGGCACACGTACAAGTAGCGCTCCAGCGCCATGCACATGATGGTGACAAGGCTGGAGAAAATACTGCAGGTCCCCACAAAGTACTGGACGTAACACCAGATGCTGAACGCCATCGTCCGGCGTTGAGCTAGTGAGTGGATGACCGCCGGAGCGAAGGTGAAAGTCTGCATCAGGTCGCTCAGAATCAGATTCTTTAAGAATGCAACGCGAGGCTCCCACGAGAGGTCCTCGGACCGTCCGACTCCGAACAGGGTAAACCCGTTGACCAGAAGTGAGAAGAGAGTCAACGCCACAAAAGTCCATATGAGTGCTGGAACCGCCTGTCCGTAGGGCACTACAGACAGAAAGAGGCAACCGGAGGCGTCCAGCTGCTCGGTTACGCGCGGCTCAGTTCGGTTCTCCCCGCTGAACCAGTCGCACTGCTCGGTGAGGTTTTGCGCCTCCGTGGTCGTCATCACGGGAACTGTTGACCTTTTTATGTAAAATGCTTCTGCTGTTCTAACTGTGAGGTGAGGCGTTGTGAACCTGGCAGGTCTGAATCCTCCAGCATCTCCATCCCCTGTGACCTGACCCCCTCCCCTCTGGGACAAACTGTATTGTGCCCTCAGTGTAAGTCATCATCGTGGTGGTGATTGATGTAGATGTGGAGCCACAACGCACGTGGAGCGCTCCATTTACGCACATGTAAAATATATCATTGATTTTAAATACCATTCACCTTTGTTTTACTAACACTAAAAACATAATATTTATCCTCAATAAAATGCAACAAATGTTCCTCAAAATTCCCCAAAAAAAGGGGGGAAAAAGTTTGTTTTAATCATTTTAAGTCTCTTATAACCTCCCATGGTGGGCATCAAGTGTTATCCCTTTTTTGTTTCTGTTTGCTGTTCTTAAAAGTTATAATGTTATAATAATGATTCTGAATGGCCCAATGCTTGACAGGTCAAAAGTCCACCATGATAGAGATGAATAAATGATCCTACAGAGTGCCTTGTGATAAAGCATGTTTCACATTTGCAGCATTTTAGATGTGTCTCAAATTCCACGTGTCCACACAGCAAAACTGACAAAATAAAGTATACTTAAAACAGTCGTCATGAAATCTTATCAAAAATTAAAACAAGCTGTTTCTGGTGGTAAAACAGTTCCAAGGACCTTTTATCAACAGCCTGTTTGTTGTTTTGTGAGGTTTATTGGACAGTCACATTTAAAAGTCACAATTTCATTGACTTGCACCAGGATGCATATTTTATGGTTTGCCATTAGTATAAAATAGTTAAAGGTCCAGTGTGTAACATTTAGGACGATCTTTTGGCAGAAATGGAATATCATATTCATAGATATGTTTTCATTAATGTATAATCACCTGAAAATAATAATCATTGTGTTTTTGTTACCTTAGAATGAGCTGTTTATATCTACAGATTGAGCAGGTCCTCTTCTACGGAGTTCCATGTAGCACCACCATGTTTCTACAGTAGCTGTAGTAACTGTAGTTGCTCCTACACACTTGGAAAGGTGAGGAGATTGTAATCTGCAACTACACCGCTGGATGCCACTGAATCCTACACAGATCTTACATAGATTTTTATGTATACTGTATTAAGACAATCTATAGCACCTGAAAAATATGTTGGATTGATCAATTCTACATAATCATTTCAAGACACAGATTTCAAGTATTTTGTACATCCTTATACCTGGTCTTGTTAAGTCCTTAAAGTACAACATGTACTACTGTTAATTGTTGAAAGCAAATAATGCATAAGCAAAAAAAATAAAAATAAAAAACACTAAAAAACACATTTCACTATAATAACTTGCATTTGGTCAAAGAAAACTGTACAACTTAACAAAGGTCTATTGATGTAAAGGGAAATTAGGGATGTCCCAATCTGATCGGCACCGATCAAGGCATTCTTTAACTGATCATACTTTAAGTGTGCACTGTGCACTATATTATCTAAAAAATTGGATCAGGACAGTTATAAAGGACTCGGATCTGATCGAGGGCTAAAAAACCTTAATAAGGGACATCCATAATAGATATATATTTAAAGATTTATAATAAAAATAAGAAAATACATATCAAATAAGAATATATAGAATTAATATATCATCATGCTCTCAGAATCAACATTTACTGACAGTAATGTAGTGCAAATACAAGTTACTTCCCATCGTTTTATGTCATTTTTATTTGTGAGAGCCCTTCATAAAAACATTGCAATTTGGGTGCAAGGGACACACAATTTGCCAAAAGCAGTCAATACAGCCGGAGAGCCTTTACCACCCACCAAAGAGTCAGAGTCAAAGTAACACTGCACGTCTAAAAGGAACAACAGCAATCACAACATTCAATAATATACACTAGAAGGATGTTTTCACATTCACCTGCTGAAAGTGGAAAGTTTCTCTCTGCTCACTGAAAATCAGATTTTAAGGGGCTATGAGGATGATTTGTAACATCACAGATAGTCTGGAGGTCAGTCCTGGTCCAGTATGCAACTTGTACAGTGTGATGTAGAAACTTGAAGCCACCAGTATATGTCATTATATTGGGACATAAATTATATTTTGAAGAGATTTGAATTATACCCAAGCAAAAAATAATATTGTTTGAGCAAACATAAATGTATTCTGAGAGAATAGACCGCTCCACATTCTCTTTCTCACTCTCCCTCAACCTCTCCACTCTGTGAGCGTTCAACTTTGCCTGTACACTCTCTCAACCTGGCCACAGCCTTACAACAAGCCACAAAATCAACCAGTCAGAGAATTGCAGATGGTAAATTCTAACTTGCTGTTTTTTTCTTTTTTTTTGTGTTGGAGTTTTTTTTTTATAATTTTTAAAAAACACCACCTCTTTTTTTTCTCCTCTTTTTGGACACCACCATGTAGGCCTGGATTTTATGCATGCATTAAACTCTCCTGCAGCTGTTGGTTAGTTTGCTGGCTGAAACCAAAAACTCTTTTGACTTAGTGACCAAAGGGGGCAGACTGACTCCTGGTGTTAAACACTGGTAACTGCAGTGAGGTCATCGTTTCTGAGGCAGGATGTATGTTGCGTGCATTAGGAGACATTATTGTGCAATTATATTAGTTCATTTATTGTATTGAACTTTAGGTAGTCTACTGGTGCATGAATTCTTGACCTTCATGTCGACAAAAAAAAATAGCAAACAAAACACATATTGTATAATACTGGATAAATCAGAAGAAATACCAAATAAATTGTCAATCCTACCTAAAGGAACTATCAAAAATGAAGAGCTATTCAAATTTTTGATAATCTGAAAATATTACAGGGTTTTTCAATAGCAATTTTATGGAAAATGTACACTTTTAAATAGTCAATTTATGTATAGTAAAAACAAATATTTCCTTCCAATATTTTGTTTACTCTTTACCAACCTCAATGGGTAAATACCAGTTCTATTAAAACTACATATCTTTGGTTTCTAATGAGATCCAATATATAATTCAGACCCAAACCTTTGTTTATCATGCAAATATGTCCTGAATTTAGTTTTTTTTTTTTTTACAGGATATTGTAATTTTGAATAAAATTAACTTTTAATGTAGTTAGAATTATTCTACAACTTGGGGTGCACAGTAGCTCAACTGGTAAAGTCTTTATCGCAGCGGCCCAGGTTTGATTTCAGCCTGCGGCCTGCTACATGTTCTAATCACAATCAATCTAATCACCTCTGAGCACAGAGAGCTGTTTTGTTTTGTTTTTTTTTATCAATGAGAATCTACAAACAATAAATAATGCATTTTTCTTTTTATAGTCCTACATTTGCAATCTGTAAAAACCCTATTTGGGCTACATTTTCATAACCATAGTAATGATGTACATGTAGAATATATATATATAAGTAGAGTATGACAAGAGGATAATTTGTTTCTGGCCAAATAAAGATATGGAAAAGAGGGATCCAGTGTTTGTTTCTCCAGTGTAAAATTACTTTATGCTTTAACATCCTTTAGAGAAGAGACGTTCCTTTTTATAACAAAATTAGATTTTTCAAGTAGCCTTAATGGGAGAAATGACACTAATGTTCTTAGGAAACCAGGAATCTATAAAACACTTACTTACACAAAGTTTATTTCATCTTTACAAAACTAAACTGCATGTTCTTGAATTATAATGTCATGGCCTTCAGTATTGTTTTTAAAAAATAATTTTAGCACTGTTGCAGCCAAATATTGTTAGTATAACATAACATAACATAAAAAAATCTAAATGTAAACATATATAGAGGGTTAGGATTATACAGACTGTGAAATATGTTTGTATTATCCATATAAAATACCTTATTTTAAATACATTAAATTGATAGCTAGTTAAAGGTTGAATAAATGATGGACGGACCAACAGAACAAAAATGCCATTCATGCAAACATGAAATATGGAAGCAAATTAATAAAACAAACTTTAGTAGCTGACAATATAAATCATTTTATTACAATACTGGAAACAATACGAGTCTCAAAAATTCCCATAGGGATTTAATCAACACCTCTCTGACCCAGTCTTAACACAAAAAACTACAGCCCTTATTAAAATGGCATTTGTTTGATTTGACAGAAGAAGGGAAGAGAAAGCCAAAAGAGAAGTGAAGGAGGGATCCGGATGGAGGGATAGAGGCCTGTAGAGGGAGGAGTGATGGCATACCCCCAGCCTTATATAGGGTGTGTTTGTCTAGAAGGTTCAGCTGCTCCCCAGGGAATGTCCAGGAATAGAAGGAGGTAGAAGATAGAAAGATTGGAAGAGAAGGAGAAGGACAGAGAAAAGCAAAAACGATAGGACAAGAGATTTACTTTCTTCCTCTGCAAACCAAAAACGTCTCACCTTCCACACCATTTTCTCTCACCCAACTACAGAAGGAGCGCTTCTGGAAAATCTTAAGCCGGGCAGAGCATCAGCTGGCGCTGTCAGTCAGGCACCAAACAGGCACTCAATGAAGGTGGTGACATAAGCTGGACGGCATGGAAGCTGAACTCACACTGTGGCCCTAGAGGGGAGGCAGGAATGATGACTGAGGGGGGTGAGAGGAGGTTAAGATGGAAAGAGGAGATGGTGTGGCTCAAAACACGGAGCGTAGTGGAAGGGTGATAACAGAGGAATTTTGACCTGAGTGGCAGGAGTAAGAGTGGAGAAAAGGTGTGGAGTTCGATGGAAATATTGGTACATAGGTGGAAAGAGAAAGGGAGGAAGAGAGGGACAGGAGAAAAGGAACTGAAGAGGATGATTAGGAAAGCAGGCGCATCATTAGAAGGGGAATGGCTCAAAATCTGCGATGAAAACCAAATTCTGACAGGAGGTGAACCACGCTGAAGTGGTTTTGTGATTGTCTGTAAGAGCAGATCACCAAACTGATTAGAGGAAGAGAATTCCTGCTCAAAAAACACAGTATTTGTTTAAAATAATGCTTTTAATAAATTA